CCCCCCCCCCACCTCCCTCCATTCCCATCCGCAAAGTCACCACCGACACGGCGTGTTGGAGGGAGATGAAGTAATCACTGCATCGTCTCAAGACGAGTGCGCACATGGTAGCAGAGTGGCGCAGTGGAAGCGTGCTGGGCTCATAACCCAGAGGACCGTGGATCGAAACCACGCTCTGCTAGCTTCCCGTCCTTCACGGCGTCCGCCTTTTACCTCAACATCACCACTTTCTCCACTTTCTCCACTTTCTCCACACTTCACCCGGCCCTCCCACGCTATGTTAGCACAGTAGCGCCTCCCAGTAGTCCCGTACACTCACCTCCTCTTTCACTTCCACCACCACCCCCATCACAGCCAGCTACACCCTCTAGGTGCTCAAATGAGGTGGGCGGAGCGAGGGCGCGGTGGCAAGGCGTTATAGAGCAAAAGCGGACTCCCTGACCGGGAGTTGAACCCGGGCCGCCTGGGTGAGAGCCAGGAATCCTAACCGCTAGACCATCAGGGAGACGTACCCTACCCCACCTCTACACCACCTCCTTGCCCACAACACCTCCCCTCACACCTTCCAACGGCAGAAGTGCCGAATGCTGCGGTTACTCGCTCTCTCCATCCTCTTCTCCTTCACCCTCATCATATTCATATTCGCCTCCAACCTCCTTCCACTTACCGCTCGGTGGGTGGCTTGGCGTGGTTGGGGGCTACATTACCATCTATATTGTAACTCTTACAAAATCTACAGTTTTCATTAACTTAATTATTTGGCTTAGCCTATCTGTCAAAATGGTTATTGTTTTGAATCGCTTATTTGTGCTACTTTGAGCTTTTCAATGTGTAAATTTTCATTTGTAGGTTCTGTAACATTCTGATTTAAATATAATTCCAATTAAAACATTTGTTTAAAATATTTCTGTCATGTCCTTCCAGGTTGATTTTACTAGTTTTGATTTGTGATTCAGAAGTCAACTAGAAATACGATGCATGAAAAATCTCTTTCTCTATCTCCTCCCCCTCTCAAGACGAGAGGTTATTATTTTAGCATTTTCAAGTTTTGGTGGAGAATCCTATCCGTGATAATAATTAACAGGTCGAGGTTTTTTTAAATTTATTACTTTTGACCTGGGGTACGCTATGAAATTGAATATGAATTAACCGGTTATCGATACAAAATTGTTTTGACTGTCCTTGCGAGACTACAACCAATTTGAAACGAAGTAAATTCACTTTTCCCATGCAAATATCCTAATGGAAAGGAAGTCCCTATTTGCCTGCTCAAATATGATTATCCCGGCTAGACAATTTAAGGGATTCCATCATGGCGAACATTTCCGACTTTCTCGATAATGTAAGTGTACAATAATCCTCCTTACGTGCATTCAGACATTACATATGAATTATCTGGTGATTAAAGGGGTATGATTTTGAGATAATTTGTTGTTTTTTACGGTTGGTTAGAAGACAGTCGTGCTGTACGGACTCGAAATAAGGCTACAATCATCCATTCAATGGGGTTCGCGATAGACCTACTTCCACGTGATGCACCTTGGCCAACGCATACTCATATGGCAAAAAGCCTATAAACTGGCAGTCAACTTCTGACTTCGAACTACCATGACCCTACTGTATGTCACATTTGACCACTTCCCTAGGACTCAGCTTACCCTACTCCCTACCTCTGTGACAGTCACTTTTACATCTGTGAATCATTGTTCTGCTCCCACCCCCCCCCCCCCCCCCC